AACCTTGATAACACACCATTAGATTTTGTAACTCTTGCAGCAGGTCCACGAACTTGCACCTTTAGCACTTGCGAGCCATTGACATCTTCAATTTTGACAGTGTAGGTTTTCGATTTTGGGAGACCTTCAACTTCCAACATGGTCAAGTCCACGGTGTACTCAAATGCTCCATGCAAGCTGTAATCAATGGATTCTTTCTGCGTACCATGAGGAGGCTCTCCGCGAAACATGGCTCCATTTAGTGCAAATATCTGGCCCAGGTTTTTCCATTTCTCTCGTGTTACTGTTTCAGACTTGCTTAGTTGTGAGCCTGGCCGTCGGTCGTTCACTGAATCATTGTGATCGTATACTTTACCTAGGATTTCCGTGGTGTCTTGTGTGTAGATTAATGGATTAAGCTGATGTGCGTGCCAAATAAGGTCAAAGTCATAGCACGGTACAAAAAACAATTCTGGATTTTTTTGCTTCAGATAAAGATGCAATTTATACCTCTTCACTGCTTCGGTCAAAAATCTCTTGTCCGCAAAATGAGGTAGGGACACCTGATAATTAAAAACCCTCTGTCGAGCACAAGCAGCCTCGATGTCATATTCAATTCTTGATTGGAAATCTGGCGCGTCGCAAACAGGGGCCGCCAGGTCTACTTCAAAAGGTTCTTCGGGATACACCTTTTCCCATAGGGCCCTGGCCTTTACAAGCCCTTTATCACGTTGCTCACCGACTAGTATTTTATGATCCACCAAAGTGGCGACAATTTCATTACAGTCCCTCTGGTAATCGACAGGGGACAGCATGTGCACATGCAACACCCAGGCGATGTCAAGTGGTGCTGCGACGTTCAAAGGAATAAACCATTTCTTGATACGAGTGGCATTCTGAGCCAGCAAAGGCAGCCAGAAAAGTTCATATCTAAAGGAAAAGGAAATAGTTAAGGCAAGAGGGATTTTTGTTACTGAGAAAATAGCAAAGCAGTAGATTTCATGAAATAAAAACAATTGGTTGCATTCGATCAGTCTTCTCAAGAATTCCTTGTTTAGTACTGTCAATGAAAGGAACAGAGCATACCTTCTGATTGCATTTCGAACGTGTGGACCGGCGTATAAACTTGGATAATCATCAACGATCCGCAGGAACTGGCGTTGAGCAATAGCGGCTTCCACTAAATCAATACCGAATTGAAACTCGGGACAGAACGTCATGGCTTACTTTGAAAGGTTACTAAACAAGTAAAAAATGAAAAAAGCTAAAGGTTTCCTCGTCTAAAGATGTAAATTTAGGATATTCCTAAAAATTAGAGCAATCACAAGTCAAGAACTTGCAAAATGATTCATTCTAAGAAGAGATATTGGAAAAAAGGGAGAAACAATTTAAAATTACTCAACCAGCTAACAATCACTCTGAGATGCAGAGCATTATGATTCAGCCACAGTAAAATTTCGCGCAAATTAAGATGACAGCTGTGGCTATGTTTTCAAGATACTATGGTCAAACCAGCATTATGTTAATTTTTAAACATATTTATGAGTGAAATAGAGAGTCTGGAAACATTTTTTAAATACTTTCGTTACAAGAAAGCTAACTGACTTGATGCTCAACCTAATTTTAACAGCAAGCGTAGATACATGATTTAAGTTTCTAAGAAGCATCGTTGTGCCGGCAACTTTCTTTTAGTCAAGCTTTAATTACTCGCTATCGAAGGGGCTTGGAGAAGAAGCACCGTAGATCACTACATGTAATCCTAGTCACCTTCGCAATTGCGTGACCCGATCTTGTCGATTCACCAGAGCCTTGTTTCCAATGTTTACGCCTACTTTATTAGGAAGGGCTTCCTCCCCAACCCTTTTGAATTTACCTATCGAGAACTAAGAGATTTAAAACACAAGACTCGACTGAACAATCTCCCACAGGTTCAAACTATTCTAACACGAGTTTCTTGAACAGAGATGAGAGATGTAGCATCAATGAAAATGCTATGGTCAAACCTGATATTTTTTGTGAGAAACATATCAGGAAGTGCTTCAGAAAATCTTGGATCCCTTCAAAATAGCCCCATGAGCAGCAACTTAACTAACATGATAATCAAGCTCTCATCCTGAACGGTGCTGAACGGTGCTGAACGGTTGGCAGAAAGTTCCCACTTAATTATATCGATGTTCTCAGGTTTCAAAACAGTAAGCGAAAGGAAAAAAAGGAACACGTCTTAATACCGAAAATTATGTTCCTACAATGATCCTAGTTTCCTTAAAACAATCTTAGCCTTTTTACTGACTAGCAACTCTGACTTGACCCTCTATGTCTAGAGTTACTCGATATGGAGATGTGCACACGTTGATACAGACAAGGTATAATTTTTTCCGCTTTCGATTTATCGTAAACACTACGCAGTACTTGTGAATAGCAAATTAATAGTTGAACGATACAGAGAGGGCCATGAAGTGTATTTTATGAGATGTTTGAAGACAGATTACTCGGTTCGAAGTCATTACTCAGATATCAACAAGCTTATCATGGAGGTGTGCAGAAGTGCACTCCATTGAGAGCGCTTACCTCTTTTAACCCTCTAACTCCCATGAGTGACCAAAACAGAATTTCTCCTTACAGTATCAATACAATATCAACCAGATACGTGATGAGAATATAGAAAAATATCAATTTGGGAATGATAGGTTTATTCAATATTAAATTCTCTGAACTAACTCTATAAGAATTGTATGGTTGACAGTAAGGAGAATTACAAATTTGATCTGGGAGTTAAAAGGTCAAAACTGTGAATCTCCTTTCCGTTTGCAGAATAAATCAATTGGAAGACCAAAATATAGTAGAATTATAAGGAAATCTCTCCTAAGACGAGAACTTCAAAGTACATGAAAAACTAGTCAGCCGTGAATTAAATCTTTTTAAGTCTTTTGTAATTTCTGATATACGGGAGCCTTTTATCGTGGTGACAGGTGCGGCCTGACCAAAGACCCCTTTGTTTTCCCACCCGCTCAAGCCACTTAATGCATGACTCCGCTGTAGCGGATACGTAAACTTACTGAGAAAAATGAACTCTTGTTTTGCTCAAGTTTCGAATTCCCAAAACCTTAAAACTCCTCTTTAGCTCTATTTTTTCAAATCAACAGCGAAAAAACTTGAAAAAATGGCTGTATTTACAGGTGATATAAAATACTTTTACTGTGGTGAACAACTAGCTGAACACAGACAAAGTATAATTGTTCTCTCTTTAATTTGTTTTGTCTCTGCATTGACTTTGAATGTCTCATTTTATTAATAAAATTCATATATTGAAAGAGAAACTGGAAACTGTTTTTGACTGCGAATCGATTGAGATAGAGCGCCTCGACTAAAATGGATGTCTCTGATATGCAGACATTGAAACTTTTAGAATTCGGATTATTTACTTTCAATAAATCTATGCTGTGGTGAGAACTACATAGTAATTGGTATTTATCCAAAGGGCTCAGATATTAAGACCCCTGACTTTGATACTAACTACTAAAAATTACTGCGCAAAAGTGAAAAAATGCGAGATGATGCAGGCAAAACTGACATTCTTCATGAAAAACTGTATGAGATGTTCTTTAAAGAGTCGAAGAGCCATTTTGAAACACTCTGCTGAGCAGAAACTTAGCTAAGATAAGCGATTACCCGATATAACTGGTTCAAGTTTCCGGGAAGCATGGAAGAAAAACGATAAGAAAGGAAATAGTCAGAAATAAAGTTTACGCGTTACCTGTGTGAATCCCTTTCCCTGAGCCTTGGTTTTCTGAGATGGATTCCAGCCTTTCCAACGTCAACTTTGAATTGATTATCTTCTGTCAAGCGTTAACCACTTAATATCAAGGTTTGTCATCGTCTACTTAGCAATTCAAGCCATCAAGGGCATGAGTTAGCCTTTGTCAGGGCTCATCTATTTGGCAAAAGGAAGTTGTTGTTCACCGAACCTCGAATTTGCAGGCTGAGGTAGAGGAACTATTAGTGTCATGATGCTCGCGAACTCGTATCGCTGGATCTGCCTTAAATCAGTAATCGTAAACTTAACTAGTTTGTATTTTTATTTTCTCAAACCAACAAGGTCTCAGAATGTGAACTATTTCAAAACAAAATCGTTTATTGAAAAATAAAGCGACGATTGGACATTAAGTAATAAAATCATTGTGTTCTGCCAGTATCTCACAGATAAATCATTATGGACCAGCTCACCAAAAACAAATATTGCGCTCAACACCGTCCAATAATTTTTGAATTGTTTTGTGAATAGCTATTCGTCACCTCCCCATGTGTATACTTGTATTTTCGGATCAATATCAGTATCTGGGCAGCTGCCCACCTACCCCTCCCCTTACTCAACAATAGTCAGTTGACAATTGATAACAAGTTGGGGTTAGGGGAGGGGTAGGTGGGCAGTTGCCCAGATACTGATATTGATCCGTATTTTCTAATCTTATTGCTTCGACACTCAACTTCCAACATAGTCAAGTCTACGGTGTACTCAAAAGCTCCATACAAACTGTAATCAATGGATTCTTTCTGCGAACCATGTGGATGCTCTCTGCGAAACATGGCTTCATTACGTTCAAATTAATGCCCCGGGTTTTTCCATTCCTTTCGTGTTACTTGCCTAGTTTTGACCCTGGCTGTCGGTTGTTCAATCGAATCATTATTGTGATCGAATACTTTACCCAGGATTAACCTGATATGCCATTAAATAAGGTCAAAGTCATAGCACGGTACAAAACACATTTCTGAATTTTACTGCTTTAGATGAAGATGTAATTTATACCTCTCCAATGCTTCGATCAAGAATTTGTTATCCGCAAAATGAGGTAAGGACACCTGATAATTAAAAACCCTCTGTCGAGCACAAGCAGCCTCGATGTCATACTCAATTCTCGATTTGAAATCTGGTGCCTTATCAACAGGGGCCGTCAGTTCAACTTTGAAAGGTTCCTCAGGATCCAGATCTCCCCAAAGGGCCCTGGGCCTAGTTATTCAAAGGGCAGATAACGCTATTTAACGGATACATTGCTATTCAGCAGATAAGTGAAAGCAAAACGTACTGCACTATACCCCCGATAAAAATTTATCCGGTGGATAGCGTTATCCAACTTTCGAACGAACGGGGCCTGGCCTTTATAAGCCCTTTCTGGCGTAGCTCTTGGATTATGTTGTGTTCCTACCGAGTAGAGACAATTTAATTGCAGTCTCTCAGGTAATCGACAGGGGACAGCATGTGCACATGCCACACCCAAAGCAATAGACCATTTCTTGATACGAGTGACATACTGAGCTAGCAAAGGCAACCAGAGAAGTTCATATCTAAAGGAAATAGAAGTGGGTAAGGCAAGAGTGCTTGTTATGAACCCACGATGAGCTTTACCTTACAAAAGCAATTGTACATATTAGGCTAAGAGCGTATCGATTACGCTCAAATTTTCATGATCTTCAACCAAAGATCACAATTCATTCTTTAGCATGGTTGAGATGTCGCGAAGAAATGCTCGGTGATTAAGGAACAGCTTCTAAAACACACGCCAAAAGAGACTCAAGGAAAAAAATTAAATTTTCTGTCCTCAGATAACAACAGCCCTCGATTGACTTCCCAAGAGAGAATCGGGTGAACAAAAAATTAAAAAAAGAAAAAAACCGAGGGAAGTTTTGCCTTTAGATAAAAAGAGCCCTATTAGGATTGAATACTCAAGAGAGACAGAACCGGGGACGAAAAATGAAAGGAGGATCGAAACCAACTAACTCTCTCTCACTTGTTCACTAAGTTCTTTCGCTTTACATTTACAAGCTTCTGAATCATTTTACGCCTCCCTGGTGGGAATTTCAGTCTTGAGCAAAGTTCGTCGAGAGTATCAAATTCTGGACTGGGAAAATAGCAAAGTAGTATATTTCGTCACAAAACCATATTGCGTGTATACCATTAGTCTTCTTCTCGAGAATTCCTCGTTCAGTAGTGTCCATGAAAGGAACAAAGCATACCTTTTAACGTGTGGACCGGCATGTAAATTTTAATGATCATCAACGAGCATCAAGAACTGGCGTTGAGCAAGAGCAGCTTCCACTAAATCAATACCGAATCGAAACTCGAGACGGGACTCCATGGCTGATTATGAAGTATTTCTAAACAGGGAGAAAATTCGAAAAAGAAAGCAAAATTAAAACGAATCACTAAGCCATTACTCAATATGCTTGGGTACAAGAGGTACTTAAACCGATTAGCCTATGATTAATCCTACATTACTTCAAGTGTTTGTTTCTGCTCTAGGACACATGGCTAATAAGGAGGCAAACTATTCTAAACCACAAATACAAATGATGTCTAATTATTTGCAAAATAACATGAAGCTAAGAAGATTGTGCCATATTTTTTTTCTGCAAATAACAGTGTAGAGAGTTGATGTCTGAACCTCGGCAGTAGAAGGCCCAATGAGTTATCATCGGTCACGCGCTAGCTGCATGGATAATCGTAACGTTGTCACAGTCAGCGTTTGCGTGAGTTTCTCTCATCAGACAACGACCACTCAATATAGAGTTATGCTGTTATCTACGTTTCCAGCGTCTTCAAAATTTTCGGCCAGTAAGTTGGTCTTTCTCACAATCCAAACATTTCCCATATTTCTTAGCAGTCGTGCGGTTCAGCTGAGGGCCAAAGTCAATTTGGATTCTACCATCTGTGGCATAAGATAAACCAACTCATTATACTTTTGAGTTTTTCCAACGTAGAAAGAAGGCTGCTAAAAGCGACTGAGGAAACCGGATACAACATAGGCCTGAATATTAAGATTGTTCGTCAACCGACAAAAAAATTTAGGTGGCAGGTTTGGAAAGATAAACTTACAAGTAAACTGGGAAAAGGAAATACCACATTCTTGTGGAAAATAAATAATAATAAAATAGACAACGTTTGCATGTACTGAAGGTATCCTGCAATCTCTTTGGCCTCTAATCGTTTTCCTGCTTATCGCAGATTAGTGCAAAATGCATGTAATACTCGTCAAATCTCTTTAAATTGTCTATTTAATAATACATAAGGTGGTATTTTTTGATGTTAGCTCAGGCTGCCAAAGACGCGGTATTCCTTTCTGCGCACCACGTGCATTTGAATCAAACAAGGTTTGTGCGTCATGATCTGACCATAATGACGCGACCGCGAAAAGTTTTTAAGCCACGTGATGAAAAAGTCCACTTCAGTATGATTTTATATTAGAGTGCACAAAAGAAAAGCGA